ACAAATGAACACTTTCTTTGTTCTTTTGCTGATAGATTATCAATAACCTTTTCCACATTTTAACTGAAGTCTTGAGGGCCATAGCATGATGTACTCAATTCGCTTCCAAAGCTTTTACTATAATCATTCATGCTTTCTTGTCCTCTTTGTCCCATTTCATTAGCAAGGTTGATTTGGGACATGGACTAGACCATTGACACACTCAAGGAGACCACTGGAATCAAGGAACACTGCATTTGAAATTTCTATACTGGAACGCCATGGCCATCAAAATTTGATACTGGATTTTGTCCACTGTGTTGATCTTTCAGTGTCACTTTACACCTTTACATAGCACAGCATAGCTTACAACAGTGCACCACACATTTAACAATTTTCAAAAAACCACCAAAAAAATATCTTTCTTAAACTTCCTCACAATTACATATGAACTGGGCCAATAGCCTGTTGAGTTGTATTGGAACAAATGTGCAACATTTAATGTTAACAAACTGAAATTTAATGCCAAAATAAGGAGAGAGAATATCTCTCTCTACAAAAATTCAAAATTTTTCAACAGAACAAGCATGTGGTCATTTTGTGCATGACCCTTTTGATGACTGTTGTAAAACAGTGCCAACTGTAGGCAACAACATGACGTGGGAAGAGACTGAGGTGCATTCACCTCAACAATACATAAAGTGGTGCTTCCATTTATTACCAGAAACATCTTTTCCAAAATAATTGATGACAACCAAAAATTTAAACATCTTAGAGAAATAAGTAATCTTGTTGCATTAAAGATAAAAAATAATTTCACAATGTAATTAATCAATTAAAAAACTTTTATGTGATGTCTTTAAATGATTTTGTAAAAATTATGTTAATTTGGTCATAGAAAAGCAATCAACAATGGAATTTTTCATTAATCATTTCAGCTAAAATATTTTANACATTTGCCGGTGTAAGTGAGAAATAACGATATTTAGCAAATATTTCGGACATACACGAAACAACTGTGTGAATGTTGACATTCACCGGAGAATGTTGACATTCGCCAGATTTCGGTCATTCACAGTAACATATACATAACAGCTGGGAAAGTAAAAGAGCATATATCCTAAAGTTCTGCACATATTTTAAAATTGTTTAAAATTCATTATTTATTTTAAAATAAGGATTTTGGGAACAGATAGGTTGTTTAATGTTCAGACGATATAATCGGGACTACAAGTAGTGAAAATTTGAACTTCAGTCTTAACCCATTCCATTAAACCAGCATTTCTCAACCTCTAACGAATCGTTGCCCCCTTCCACGTAGTATCGCCCCCTTTAATAAAACCGTTACGTAGTATCGCCCCCTTCACTTCAAAATTCTGATGCCGAGAGCCAAGGGTGCGACTATGCAGATGCGAGCGAGCGAATTTTCCGAGAGAGCGAGAAGAGGCAAGACGTGATAAATATCAAAACCTGTCAGATATGTGCGAGAACTAGAAATTCGCTCTCGCTAGCATTATTTCTCACTTCTCGTTTGTGCATGGTTTTCCTTTGCGAAAACTAAATCGCTCGCAACCTCTCACTCGCTCTAAATTCGCGTCTACATAGTCGCACCCTAACGCCAAATTCGTACTGCATTGAATAGACTAGTGACTAGTTTAATGTTATTTGTTTAATTATTGTACGATATAACGAATAAAATATCTAATTATTCTTAATATAATGTTTCACTATATTGCCCAGAAAATTGTTTTTTGCCCCCCAAAATATAAATTGTTACTAATCGCCCCCTCAACATGGAAAAACGCCCACATGGGGGCGATATCGCCCCTATTGAGAAACACTGCATTAAACTCTAGAAATGGCTTTGAAGTGGCAAAGTTTAGCCTTGATCCTGTCCTCCAACAAATGTATGGGCGATGACGTGTGCCAGAAAGCATATGCTTAGTCAGAGTAGTATTTCTTTAAGAAGGATACTAGCTTCTTCTGAATGCACTTGTGTCATACATTTCTTTGGTGGAGGAGAACCAAGATGGGGCAATGAAGGCCTGTGAACACCCTTTGGATTGATTGCCAGTCAAACCATAAGCTTTGGCAAAATTTGGAATGTTATTTGAGGATCCACATATAGCTCTTTTTTAATGAAATAGTGATTATTACCAGCACATACTCATTTCCATCAAAACTGAAATAGGACTCATCATCCATAACCATATCAAGACTGTTTAACACCTTCAAGATTCTATCATGCAATTTCTTCAGAAGGGATTTTTGAGTAGCAAGTTATTTCATGATGTATTTTTGGAGCAGACTTTCACTTTTTGAGAATCACATATGTTCCATCAGAGTATGATGAACATGTCATGTGAAATTTTGAACTTTCTTCCCAATTTTCTAAGCATTTGCCCAACTTTTCCAAGTCTTCTTCCTCCTCTTTCAACCACTATCCTTGAAATAATACTACACACGATACATCATGGAACTCCCATTCCAGAGAAAGTTTAACTGTATAAGATTTCCCATTTTCGTGATTTTCAGTATAAAATCTACCAATTACATTCCTTCAATCAAACTCATTTAATCCTTCCATTTTTAAAATGGAACATTATTTATGTAATGTAAATTTTTTGATAAATGGAATCAAGAATATTCTAGAAAGAATGTATGCTCTCTTGTGTGTATGTGCAATTATTCAAAATTATCAGAAAACACTACTGAAATTTGTGCAGATTTCAAAAAAAGGCCACAGCTCCCACATGACATGCACTGCACTATGTCATGTCAAGAGCAGTCATGTTGCTTATGGAATGATACAGCTTAACTGGATTACAATTTCAAATGAGAAATGTAGTGTTTTAAAAGTAAGAAAACAGGAACATAAAGTATGCATAAAGTTAGAACAAAATATGAATTTTTTATTTTAAAAATTTTAAAAAGGAAATTTTTTTCTAGAAATTTGTCTTGTAATTAATTATTATTAATAAAAGATTTATACTATAAATGACCTATTGTCTCCTGCCAGTTATGCAAATAAGTCTATCATTTCACCTTTTTATGATATGCATATTGCTGAGGAGAATAATGTATGTGTCAACTATTTGGGCTGCAATTTGAAAAAATTGTAGATCTATAAATCCCCACTATCTGTCTGTCTTTCCTTAATCTTGAGAATGGAGTTAAATAGATGAAAGACAAGACCAGATATGGAAATCATAGGAGCAGAAGGTCCCAATTAACTATACAGTAATACCTCGACTTACGCGAACCTGAAGTTATGTGATTTTCAAATCTCGTCTTTTGTTTGAGCGCCACGAAACTCTCGATTACTCACTCCACCCACACTATTGTTCGACTTACATGTTCAGACGTGTCGTGTGGAATCGACACATAGCTACAATTTATTTTGTGTTTGTTATATCTACGAAGACTCGAAAGACTTTGTGATGATTTCTTGTAACCATGAACAAATCAAAAGACGAGATAAGACTAACAAGAACATTTACAGTAGAACCTCGAAAACTCGGCTTAATGTGGACCGAAGGGTGGCCGAGTTTGTGAAAATGCCGGGTTATCGGAAATGGGGTTAAAAAAAATTAGTACGAGTGTTTCCTCAGAAAATACTGTACTGTACTTGTATGTATTGTTTACTTGAAAATATAACAGAGAATAAACTGCCCAAATACCCTTAAACAAAGGAAAAGTACGTCCTTTATGAAGGCATAGAGCCTTTACTACATGAAAATGAAAATTAATGAATACACTGTGTNTTACTGTAAAATACAACATTAAAGTTAATGAAGATTAAGAAGATAAATACATTTGTAGAAGTTTTCAAGAACCAAAATATGTACACACTTTTTTGGATATTATTAGATTTTGTAAGTAGACTCTACAAATATTATTGCTTTAGAAAAATTACATTTTTCGTTTAAAATTTGCTGTATTATATTCCAAGTTATACACTACGGAAATTCTGTTCTTTTTAAAGATAAATGCAATTTTTAAATTGATTAATTATTATGAGCAATAGCAATTAATTCAATTGAAAATATGAATTAATAAGAAACTGATTTATCTATGATTCTAGAATTGATAGGATAAGGCAACTCAACACATGGAAGATCTGTCAACTGGGACTTTCTATGGTAAACTTGGCCCTATTTAGGTGTTAGACAAGAGAACAGCGACATACATGCGACCAGCTTTTCGGTCAGGCGCGAATCCGCGATCAATGCTCAGTGGTTTTATCCACTCAGCCACTTCTGAACAAAACTGGTTTATCATTCACAAAGAAAATGTTTTCAATCATATTTAAAAAGTCAACATTTTAAAATAAGAATACACAATTTAGAATGAAAAGTGAATAATTTCCGGCAAAAACGTCAAAAATACTTTAAAATATATACAGTATATGATAGGAATTTTTGTTCGGTTGACCCAAAACTTCATTAAAATTATTCCATTTTATTTTTATTTATTTTCTTTTCTTTAAAATGAATATTAAAAACTTTCTTTCATAAATCCTGTTAAAATTTTAAATAATATATAGGATTAAATACAAAAATAATATCATGATATTTTTAAAACAATGTTTTAAAGAGTGATATAGCATTTGTAGTAAAATTATATTATATACGATAAATTAAAAATAAAACAGCATTATTTTATAATATTTTAAAATTTGATCTATGTTAAACATTAAAATAAGTATAAATTTATTGGAATATATGTATTGTGGTTATTCAGCAGAAAAGTTTACAAATCATTTTATTTTTGAGTGTTTGTGTTAAATTTTTCTTTATTTTGGCAATATTTGCTTTCTGTATTTTTCCTTTTAATACAAATTCTAGAAATTTTAGTTGCGCCTGCAATAGTAATTCATATCTCGGCTGTTCCCAATAGATAACCAGAAACATTACTTTAATCTATGAATACGAAAAATAGACAAAAAAAAAAAAAAAAAAAAAATTCTAAAATTTTTAAAAATTTTAAAATTGTAATAAGTAATTTAATATAATTCAAAATTTCAGCTACCTTGAATAGTTCTTTTAAAGAAAGCTTTGCATGCTTCACATGAGGCAACTCCATAATGGAAACCTGATGCGACATCACCACATACTAGACATAATCGCTTTGGAGAATCAGCTTTTCCTTCAGAATTACTGACATTCATACTTCCTGTGCCATCTCCAGGTATGGTACTAGAACAAAACATATCTTGATGATGACTTTCAGGACTAATTGGGGGCGATGGTGATTGTTCTGCAGTATCACTTGTATAAAGATCCTTTAAAAAATGATTCTTTGTTATAAAATATTTGAAACAAGCAAATAAAACATAAATATAAAAAAAAAAGTAAGAAATTTACCATGTTAAATTATGAATGAAAAAGGTCACTTTTTTATATGTTTAAAAAATGATTTTCAATTTATTTTAGAGATTGCATAATTATAGCATTATATCATACTTTACAAGAATAATTTATTAAAAAATTTACCATTGTTATTTGTTCAGGTGACCTACAATGTAGTTTACTACTACCAACTGGTTCAACTGTTCCAAAATCAGTTTGTCCATTTGATAATCCTGAGTTGGAAGGAGGATAAATGCAAGGTGATGGAGGACAAACTGATAAACAGGTACTCTGTGCTTCATTTCCATCTTCTGTCTTAATCTGAGATACAATCACACTGCTATAACCTGCCATCACAGTGTACTACAAAAAATTTATACACAACAATTATAAACAAATATAAATATTCAATTCTTAGTTTAAAAATAACTTAACCAATAATATTTTCGACACTTAGTTAATGAATATGAATAAGTTCAAATTTCTCTTAATGCACTACAATTTTTGACTCAAACCATCACAAAAAATAATTATAATTAAATGTTGATAGTTTCCTACATTTAAGAAAATTACATGTATAACTTAGTATTAGAAATTTCACTATAATAATTATCTTTTGAATGATGATAAATTATTATTATTTTTTAAAATTTATATGAAACATGTAAAAATACACCTTAGACAACATAACAATAGACTCTGGTTGATCGGTAAATTAATCCTTATGCTATAATGTCAGTATCATATATTAAAAATGAATCACTCCATAAAGTATTACAGAACTTAAATTATTCATATATGAGTAGTATAAATTTTTAATTATTCCTGACTATTATTATTCCAGATGATATTAAATATATGTATTATTTAATTCAGATGTTANATTTTAATTATTTAATTGCTCCTTCCTCTCTTCCTTGGCATGTTGTGAAATTTCTGATAGTTGGATAATAAACCGTTTTATTGTAATTTGTCTTTTTAAATTATTTTGAGTCGATATTAAAATTTGGAAAAGGGAGGATACCTAGATTGGTAAAATACGCAAATTTCTTCCTACAACTTCGGTTGTTGTTCGGGGTACAGTTAAGGTTTTAGAAGTTCGAGCGAATACATAATTAGCAATAAAAAAAGTTGAAATAAAGTGATTGAACAAAAATTATTACAAATATCGTAAATAACAAATGCATATATAGAGATATTTTTTGAAAGGGGGAAATGGTCTTCACAATTTGAAATCGATCTAACACACTGTGCGCGAATGCTCGTGTAAACGCGCGCCATCTATCGTAGGATAAATGTACTTCGCGGGAGTGTATTAAAAAATTAAAAAAACTTTCCAAAGTTTTATGGCAATCGTACTATGCCACAAACCTTCACCAGAGTATATTAAACAACTTCCCAAAGTTTCACGGCAATCGGATAAACGGTGTGGTAATGCATGAAGGACATAGGACACACACACAGACATACATTCATTTTTATATATATAGATAATTTTATCATCTGTCATAAAAAATATTATATTATTTATAGACAGAAAAAAATTATATAATCAATTAATCATATACAGGTATATCCAAAAGCAACGTGTTCCTATGAAACCTGATGTAAGCCAAAATGGTGTAAAACAGCAATTCCAAAACTTTTTCAAGCCACCACCCTGTTGGTTCCATAAATTTATACTCAACACCCCCTAAACCATTTTCCCTTGTATAAGAAAAGCTTGGAAACCTTAAAAAAAGTATGAACTTCATACTTACTATACATTGTTCTCCACATCTGGAAACCATTAAACAATATTTCTTCTTATCCGTTTTAACAGAGGAAAGGGAAAGGTTAACAGTAACCCCTACCCTCACCTATGGTTACTCTGCCTACAGCAGCCCCCTGCCACCCACTTGCTTCTTTTTGCTCCCTAGATTTACTCAGCACCCACAGGGAGTAGTTAAAATTGTAATATTTATTTAAAGAATTTAATGCAAAGTCTGCATTTGTATAAAACTCAATCTTTTAACAACTCAATGTGGATTGGAACAGAACAAAACAGAGAAACTATACAATAGAGTAATAAATGTGAGTGAGAATGTGTTGTCACAACTGTGAATGATTTTCAACCACTTATCATATCACCTGTCACAGTTTTAAGCATCTGACATTTTCTGCTCAACTCACAGGTGAAAGTGATTAGCTCTAAGCACAAATGCCTATGTTTTGGACTCACAAAATACAGGATAATAAATATGCTTCTAGGATTATTTTGCATATCAATTAGGATTTCTGAAATTTCCAGATTTCAGATTTCCCAAGAGTGGAAATGTCACTGTTTCTGGCAAAATAGTGGGATTCAGGAATTTTTTAGTTTTATTTTTAAAGTATCTGTAAACCAAAAGATACTAATAATAATAATTCAAATATATATGATGTTCAAAGCTAAATGAATTTTATTCATATTTTTTAAAATAACTTTCTAGAAAGTAAAAAACACAAAGCAGCTTCTTAATTTTATTAAAAATCCTTTCAAGATATATGGAAAATGAAAAAATTTTTCCATGTTGGTTTAATGGGCAACAATTAATATGTCTTTTTTCTTTTTGCTCTTTGTCCTGTGGGCATAAGGGCCTTTTTTTTAAAGTCCATAATAGGTTTATCAATTATTATTTGTATAGTTTTCAACGTGCAGGGTACATTTATGTGGAAAAATACTATAAGGCTCTCATAAACTTATGAAAAATTTTTTAATATTAAAATGGTCATTAGTGCAGCAAACTGGTTGTTAAATTATTTGAAACCCACCACTGAATTAATTTGTGTAGGAAAAAATTAATGAGCATTCCCAGACTCAAAATTAACTAACTAAATTATACCAAATAATGCAACCTAAAATAATTATAATACTAACCTATTGTAAAAGGAGGAATGATATGATAAATACACTACCTACGAAATAGAAATGTAAGTAGTATAGTTAGTAAAACTACACCAGAACTCTCTCTAGTAAGTAATCTTCAAGCTATGAAACTGCATTTGTCTCAAAAACTGATCAAACTATCTATGGCTATCTTTAAATTTCGCTTTCGTAATAATGACTGATTTCTTCTTAAGTAAAGATAAATTAATGGAACATTATCTTTCTATACTCATCAATCTACTCAAGCAGTAGGTGTTCCATTTTAATCCATAACCGAATCCTAACTAAAAGAGACCACTTTGCTACTAGCAGAACCAATAAAAATTTTGACAGCTTTCAAGATTCTTTCTCTCTTCATGCAAATAGTATGAATGGTAGGTGCAGGTAACTTCAATGGATGCACAAAGTATTTAATTCATTCACCATGATTGAAATGCTTAATTAAGTCCTAATTTATGCTAAGTGTAACACCCTTAAGAGTTATCTTAGGCTTTTGTACCTTATGACACATTTTGCTAATGGATGCACAAAATAAATCAGCCTAGAGAGAGCACAGATGCTCACACAGTTCAAAGCTATGGCTACTTGACACTGAATGTAGTTCCTAGTAAGAAGCTAGGAGATGCCTCTCTCTGCTCAGGGCACACAATACAAAAAGTGTTTAGCATTTGTTTTGTAGTGAGCTGTTTTAAAGCTCATTACAAAACAAATGCTAAACACTATGCTTTTTTTCATAAAAGCAATAATACACTCTGAATTTTTTTCAGTTAATGAAAATACATATTAATATAGGATACTAAAAGCAAAGTGGTGTAAAGCAAAACTTTCATAAAGTGGAGTAATAGCTGTATATTATTTCTATAACATAAGGAAATAATCATTTTTCATAAAATAATAAAATATGAAAAAAGATTCAAACTAATATATTAAATGAAAATTTCAACTTCTAAAAACAATTTTTTTTTAGAAGTTAATACTAATTATCCTGAAAAAACTATTAAACTATTATATCTAGATAAGAACAACTTAATATCAATGATTATTTTTTACCTTGTATACAAATATTTGTTATACAGGTATACCTCGACTTACGTCGTTTCGAGTTACGTCGTTCCCGATTATACGTCGTTTGTCAAAAAAGTATACGAAAAAATAAAAATCAAGTTTAAATCATTTTATTCGACTTTACGTCCGTCCGCCACAAATATTGAAGTCGTAATATCACTAGAAAAGCGTTTAAAGCACATAAAATCATATTAAAATATACACATTTACAAGTATGTACTGTATTTACAGTACAGTACATGCATTCGTAAATTTAGATTACTTTTTTCTGTACTCTATTAAAAACTAAAATTTATTTGTTTGTAAGCTTAAAATAGATTCTTATTAACCATATATTATTAAAAATGCATTAATAAATAAAATACAGAAC